CATCCATCTGTAAGTTCATCTCCATAGTTGCTTTTTGTATGCGTCCGTGAAATTTCTGTAGAAATGTTTGGATCGTTAGTCGACTGTCCAAGTGTTCCCCATGTTCTCGCAATTGTGAAGCAATCGCTAAGAGTCGATCCAGTAGCTTTCTTTGTTCGGCAGTAGTTGATCCTTTTGCAGCACTATTGTTGAGACTTTTGTTCAGCTCTCGGATGATGCTGTCCTTGTCGCCATAACGTTTTTGTAAATATTGCACGGCCTTTTCGTAGTTGCTTGCTGTAACGTGAAATCTGGAAACTGATTCCTTTGCTTCTCCACTCAAAGAAGATAGAAGGTAGTTGAATTTCTGCAGATTCGTTAATTCTTGGTCATGCACGTTTGCTTTAAACAGCGTCCAAAAGTTGTCCCAGTTCCATCTTTTTCCGCTAAAGATGGGAATTGGTAATACAGGAAGTTTGCTCAATGCAAGAGTTGTCGGGTTCGCCTCTGAATGTCGGTCTATTCCGATTGACCTTTCATTGTCGTTTTCTGCCGTATAGTCGTAGAGAACGCGCCTCAATTTTGACTTGTGATCGTGAAGGTTCATGATAACTTCTTGAGCTGCATCAGTGTACTTGCTGAGTTGTTCGTCATCTTCGACCGAGTGATCTTCGTATTCATCGTAGGCGTTTGCTAGTTTTGCCATCGAAGTTTCCAAAAGAGTGATGTGTTCGTCGCATTCTTTCAGTGCTACGTATGCATCATGAATGCGTTCTTTTCTGGCTGACTCTGAATCGCAAGGATTGGATAAAAGAGCGCTATTTTCTTTCAACCAAGTAGATATCGCTTGCGTGCGTTTTGTGACGAGGCCCTTGAAGGTTCTTACTGTAGCTGCCATCTTTACGTAACAAAGTGACAAGCTATGTTAATCAGTACCTTCTTCCTCTTTCTGTTCGTGTTTTCTGGCTCTTGTTTGTTGCTGTTGTTGTTGTTTTGCGTTCTCGAGACCCGTTGCTCTTCAGTTGGCCGATGCACCAGTTGTTTTGGTTCAGTGGTTGCGGTGGTCTCGCATTACCTCAAACTTGGGTAATTAAACTTTATCTTTGGATCTTTAAATAATATGAACATGAACATGATAACAATAACAAGCTAAACTACACTGAACTACTATACTAAAGGATAAAAGAAAAGAATACTGAATTTGCTCTTGACTAAGCCACTTTTATATAGCAATATATGTTTGGGTATGTGCTTGAAGGAATAGGCGATGACTAAGCTCAAGTGACAAATACATGTTTTGTCTTAGAAACCAATCAAAAGTATCAACATACGACTTTTACAAGGTGAATAATGTTAAGAAAATGAAAAGCGTTTGCAAATTCAGTATACCATGCTCGATTACCCCCCTGTGCCAACTCCCAGCCCCGTAGGTGAACTCAGCAAAAAAATCGATAAAATCGATAAAAGTAATCGATAATCCTGAAAACCAATATTGTATTCGGCATCCCCATGCTCGATTACCCCCCCCCCCCTGTGCCAACTCCCAGCCCCGTAGGTGAACTCAGCAAAAAAATCGATAAAAATCGATAAAATCGATATCGATCGATGACGAAAAGTAGCCTATGACACCCGCCGGGGCCCGTAGTGTATGTGTGCCAAGTTTGGTCCGGATCGGTTCAGAAATGGAATTTTCTATTCGGAACATACGTACATACATACATACATACATACATACAGACATACAAACAGACATTCAGCTTTATATATAAGATGAGAGCTGTGAATGTCTAGATTATATTGAGACCATATAAAATTATCTGCAATAATGCAGACCTCAAGAAATGTTGAACCATCTGTTATTTGTTGCATAAAACTCAACTCAGCCGCAACTAGGACGAAGGCTGCACATTGTATGCGCATTGAAAACCTTATTTATTGGTTTGCAGCAAAAGAAAATCATGATTTCGCTAAGGTAGCTGTTTCGCAGACACGAAGCACATATTTAAGATCAGCGTTTCAAGTTCTTCACAACTGTCTATAACCTCATCTTGAGAAGCCGCGCAATTTTTATCTCAAGTCAGCCTCCTCATGCACAAGCTGTGAAAGTATGGATCGGAGCAAAACGTTATTTCTTTGTTGCACCTCAACTCAGAAAACCAAACTTACTAAGTTGAAGTGGCAGGTATGTGGTAGATATCATGATCAGTGCAGCTGTGCTGGAATTTGTTCCATTTACCAGCAGGCATGTGCCTATCCACAGATTCCTCTTTATCTTTCAGGAACAAAAAGAGAACCAGCATGATGAAGCTTTTTTTTTGCTCTCGATAAGCGATACTTTCGCACTTTTAATTGTCATCACTCTGATATTGCTCGAAACGTTCGCGGAACTTCAGTTATTGGCAAGCACATTCAGCAGATTCATTTTTCCAAGCACTTTTTGCATAAGCTTTGATTCAACTGGCTTGGCTTTGGGAAAGCGGGGCTTTGTGACGTATTTAAGGCCAGCGCCCGCAACGCATCTGCGTCTTCCTCGCGCGGGTGCTCTCTGATCGCTGGCTAGCCCTACTTAGATCACGGAGCCCCGCCTTTCCGAAGCCATCCAGTTGAATCAAATGGTAGTTCATTTGACATTCGATCCATCTAAGTTTTCAGAGCATACACTGATTATTGTAGAGGTTTGCATAATCAAGTTTAAGGGAAAAGTATCTTGATGGGAGAGAACTGCGTTTACGAGAGTAATTAATAGCCACTCTGCTTGAGTTGTCAGATCATCTTGCGCACTAGCGACACGTCAAGTGTGCTGTTCGCGATTGCTGTCATGTAGGAACTTCTAAGGCATTGCTTTCGTGCAAGTTAGTCTACAGACCATTTTTAGCATATGTGTGGTCGAAGGTACATGAAATAACCACAGTGAAGACTTACACAGCACGACGGCCGCTTTGCGCGCTCATAGCTGTGCTAGCTGTGCCACATAAGACTCTTCGATGTTGAAGTGTCACGGCGGTGAACTAAATGTGTGGGGTTGCGGAAGATACATGACTTTTGCACTGATGAATTTCGTGGAGCTGCAAACCTTCGCCGAAATTTTGGGCAGCCTATGACTTATGTTCCTCCCCCCCCCCCCCCGTAAACCGCCAAAACTTGATTTCAAAAGCAATTCCGCTAAATAATAGTATAAAGCTGTAACAATAGGTGGTCCTTATAGAATTAAAATGAGTTTCAAACGCATGTCACCTTCGCATCACTCTATTGTATGACTGAGGAACAGTAAAATACGTGTACATTTTATACTAATACAGTTTGTTGTGGGGAAGAATGCTTTTGCTTTTTGCTCAAAGGAGGGAAGAAAGCAGAGAAAATATGGCTGTCTAAAAGCGAACGCGAAGCATACCTTATACGAACAACATATAGCTTGCAAATTACCCTAGTTTCACGCGTATAAGGCGCGGGGCTTGTCGATTTTTTCCAAAATCGACCAGCCCAGACACGCCAAAAGACTTTACAACCAAAGGACGCTATAGCTTGCTGTCTATTGCTTGAAAGAATCGTGCGATGTGAGGATTTCTTTTCGGAAGAAAGTGAGCGGCTGAGCGGCTCGCTTGAAAATTCGAAAAACTGCGCCTTATACGCGTGAAATTAGGGTAGGTGAATCATAGCAGATGATAACACTGATAATAAATCTCCTGTAAAGCGCTGCATTGGAATTGTTCAAAGTGCTGCGCGTATAAGGCGCTGTCGTTTCAACCTAGTTTTTTTTTTGCAAAAGATCTACCACAAGTTTAAGGTACATTTTTTGAGCTGCGAGGGAAGCTTTGTGATTTTTGCAAAAAGAAAGATGGTTTTCATATTGATACGCCACTGAACAAAATCTTCGAGGCAGACTTGAGGTTTTTTTTATGAAGTTCATGGCTAGTAATAGGGCGTTTGAATTTCAGAGGAAAGCAGCGTTAATGTGTCACCTTAATTTATATTAGGCCGTGTCGAAAGTAATGTCGCTTTTTTCAAACGTGCGCCACATCTTTTGAAACAAAGATATGTAAGAGATTTTGGTAGCATTTGATACACCATTTCATTCCCTTTCTAACGGTTATTAATCACCGCAAAAATTTAAAAACCTCTCGAAAAGTTATCAAAATCTGCGATTCGGCTTTTTGAGAAGGCCAGATTTCACAAATTTTCTAAATTCTTATTACAACCCTCGGAAGGTCCCAAGTAATAGATGGATAGAGCAGACCCTACAGGAGACAACTTTTTTCTACTTTCCAGAGCTCGTCATAATTTTTGTACAGATTTTTTTGCGGAACCACCGAATTTTAGCAGGCTCGTCTCAGACACAAATGCATCAAACACCAATAAATCTTCGGATTTTGAAACTTACAAAGATGGATTATTGTTTGACACTAACTTTAAAAACCAAAAGGACATTCTCCGTTTTAGACTAACAACTTGGAAATTTGGAAATTGGAAATTTTGGGGCGCTTTGGAAAGCCCGAATTATGATGATTTTATCCAAGAAAACTTGATGAATCAGAAACAGAAAACAACCAGTGGAAAGAGGAGAAAAAGCTGCTAGAATGACACCCGAGTTGCTTGCCGGTTGTTGTTCTGTGAGGTCTGAGTTAACCAAATATGGAATTTGATGGTACTGAAAAAATGATTCCAGAAACTCTAAGAAGCAAGCTAAGGAAAAGAAAAAATTAGTCTACGTCCTATATGGTTTGCTCTACCTACTAATCCTTTGTACTTTTTCGGAGAATAGGTACCAAAATTTAGAAAAATAGCCGAACTTGACCATAGCAAAAAGCATGGGTCGCAGATTTTGGTAATTTTTCCAGAGCTCATTGAGTATTATGCAACGATATTTACAACCATTAGAATGTGGATGAAATGCAGCATTGAATGCTTCTAAGAACTCTAGAACATCTTGATTTCGTGAGGTCAAAGCAAGATGTAAACCCGCAGCACTACAGTACTACATGTATTATATTTGCACTTTTTCACGACGACAATAAAAATCTCACCAGACTCATGTCCCAAGGGATACCTTCAGAGTACTGGCCTTGCATGCATCGAGATGACATTGTAAATGTGCAGTGAGCAGCGTTAGATGGAACTTTCTGAACGAAAATTGCAAGTTCTTTAGAAAACATATTCGTCCAACAATAGTACGCTTTCAAATCATACTGAAGCTCACATGAGGGATTGAATGGGTAGAGTAAGCGAACAGTTTTTTGTTTAAGAATCGCTGTAACATTTTGACAAGCAACGAGTGAACATGGAGTTCCTCGCGCATACGAATCGTAACGATGCATGATTCACACATACCGCGGATCTCCACTATCATACTGGGTTGTCTCACATGAGAAGTCTTTTTAGCCGTAAACTTACCGATAAAATCTGAGGGCTACTGCAGGACGAAAGCGCAGTGTTAGTTGAGCGGGCACAGCGGCGCTTAGGTCTTCATCGTTGTGAAACCTGCACCTCAAGCGCTTTGCTGCAAATAAATCGCGTTCGTTATCTCAACGCGCTACTAGAAAAAAAATCTTTCAGAATCGCTCGAGTGACTTATGTCCAATGTCAAGACACTCTAAGTACTGTTCTTGTCTCATGTACTCGTCTCAATGCTGCTTTGGAACTCTGTCTTATTTGAGGTGACAGTGAGAGTATTAAGTTAGTGCAAAAGTAATGCGCGCTTTTCTAGCCCTTGTTTCAGGACAATTGCCTCCATCAAACTTTCTCCTTTGAGAAAAACTTAAACAGTTTCAAAAAGCTCTCCTTTTATGCTCTATACAATGAACTCAGAAGGAAGCTTTTATCCTTATTAGAAATTAATTGAGCTTCATGCAACATCAGCGAAACCAGAATTTCATTGCACTTACTTTTTTGGCTAGAATCAAAGCGCGAACAAAGGCATTCGTTTGAAAGTTTAACTATTGTATGTAATAGAAATTGCCTACATTACGCATACTTTACTACATTCTTAGAAATAAATAACCTGATTGAGATTTCGGCGCCTCAACCCATTCTGTGGCATATAGATTTTCTTTGAAGAGGGCGATCGTCAAAGTTCTGCTCACATCTGTGAGCGAAGGGTGGCCTTTTGTTGACAGTTTTTGCAAAAGTGTGAATCTGTTCAGTAGACAGAAAATCAAAAATCTCCATATTTTGGGATTTTGAGGCCTAAGAAAAAATGTCGAAAATAGCGGACAATTTTGAATATCAATTTTTTTCTCTTTTCGCAAATCTTCTTTCTTTAAGCCCCTTCCAACTTTTTTGTACTACTGGCTTGCGGCTACAAGACGGACACTTATCATCCACACTTACAAATTTTGAAGAGAGTTATGATCAGTTAAAAACGGTGTTTCGTAACATGAGCATAGTAAATGTGCGCTGTAATGAGAAATTGCTGTCTCTGATGGTCTTTACCGCGCTGAAGTACGTGGATTTTTTAAAGAATTATAGCACGTTAGTGTGAAAACTCGCAAAACGCGCATTACTTTTGCACCAACCTTAAAGCTGTAATTTTCAGCCTTCGTTTTTCGCCTCAAAAACATACATAAGTTGACGTTTAAAGGAGCACGGCAGATACGGAAACCTTCTGATTCAACGTATGATTTAAAAAGTGGTATCTTATATATAAAGCTGAATGTCTGTTTGTCTGTATGTCTGTCTGTCTGTCTGTCTGTCTGTATGTATGTCTGTGTGTACGTATGTTCCGAATAGAAAATTCCATTTCTGAACCGATCCGGACCAAACTTGGCACACATACACTACGGGCCCCGGCGGGTGTCATAGGCTACTTTTCGTCATCGATCGATATCGATTTTATCGATTTTTATCGATTTTTTTGCTGAGTTCACCTACGGGGCTGGGAGTTGGCACAGGGGGGTAATCGAGCATGGGGATTCCGAATACAATATTGGTTTTCAGGATTATCGATTACTTTTATCGATTTTATCGATTTTTTTGCAAAGTTTGAGCTACGGGGCTGGGAGTTCGCACAGGGGGGTAATCGAGCATGGGGATTCCGAATACGATATTGGTTTTCAGGATTATCGATTACTTTTATCGATTTTATCGATTTTTTTGCAAAGTTTGAGCTACGGGGCTGGGAGTTCGCGCAGGGGGTTAATCGAGCATGGGGATTCCGAATACAATATTGGTTTTCGGGATTATCGATTACTTTTATCGATTTTATCGATTTTTTGCAAAGTTTGAGCTAGGGGGCTGGGAGGTGGCACAGGGGGGTAATCGAGCATGCTGATCACCCCCTTGGGGGTGATCAGCAGGCTCGATTACACTCCTGTGCCAAATTCCGCCCCCTAGCTCAAATTTTGCAAAAAATCGATAAAATCGAAAAAGTAATGGACGATCCTGGAAACTAATATTGTGTTCGTAATCTGCATGCTCGATTACCCCCCTGTGCAAACTCCCAGCCCCGCAGGTCGAACTTTACAAAAAAAATCGATAAAATCGATAAAAGTAATGGACGATCCTGAAAACTAATATTGTGTTCGTAATCAGCATGCTCGATTACCCCCCTGTGCAAACTCCCAGCCCCGCAGGTCAAACTTTACAAAAAAAAATCGATAAAATCGATAAAAGTAATGGACGATCCTGAAAACTAATGTTGTATTCGGAATCCCCATGCTCACTTCCCCCCCTGTGCCAACTCCTAGCCCTGTAGGTGAACTCTGCAAAAAAATCGATAAAAATCGGTAAAATCGACATCGATCGATAACGAAAAGTGGACTGTGACACCCGCCGGGGCCCGAAGTGTATGTGTGCCAAGTTTGGTCCGGATACGGCGGAGCCGGGTAAGCCAGCTAGTCTTATATATAAAGCTCAATGTCTGTTTGTCTGTCTGTATGTCTGTCTGTATGTCTGTCTGTCTGTATGTGTGTACGTATGTTCCGAATAGAAAATTCCATTTCTGAACCGATCGGGACCAAACTTGGCACACATACACTTCGGGCCCCGGCGGGTGTCATAGGCTACTTTTCGTATCGATCGATTTCGATTTTATCGATTTTTTGCAAAATTTGAGCTACGGGGCTGGGAGTTGGCACAGGGGGGTAATCGAGCATGCTGATCACCCCCGTGGGAGTGATCAGCATGCTCGATTACACCCCTCTGCCAAATTCCGCCCCCTAGCTCAAATTTTGCAAAAAATCGATAAAATCGATAAAAGTAATGCACGGTTTCGAAAACTAATATTGTATTCGTAATCAGCATGCTCGATTACACCCCTCTGCCAACTCCCAGCCCCGTAGCTCAAATTTTGTAAAAAATCGATAAAATCGACATCGATCGATAACGAAAAGTGGACTGTGACACCCGCCGGGGCCCGAAGGGTATGTGTGCCAAGTTTGGTCCGGATCGGTTAAGAAATGGAATTTTCTATTCGGAACATACGGCGGAGCCGGGTAAGCCAGCTAGTAGAATATATTCGACAAGGCTATTTTGGCTCAAAACATTTGGTGTCAGCTTGGGACTTTACTGTGCTATCGCCAACTTGAGACATGTGCTAGGTCGATGCAAAAATGATGGCCGTTGCATATGCTACCAAAGCATATAGATACAGAAGTATACGAATGAGGTACCATTCGATAGAATGAAGCAAGCTCTACAAAGTGGCTGCCAAGAATCTACCTACACATCAGATCTACATAACGTTTGATGCCAAAATTTGTGAGCATATGGTGAACTCAAAAATCGGATCTTCGCTCGGAGAAGTCCTACAAGTCTCCTGTTGGTCATCACATAGTAGACACTTTGCAAACTCCGCCTGTAACTCGCCCCTTCCCCCAAATAAGGTAATCTGTACCACAAAGCCTCCGAAGCATAGCTGTGCAATTTCAGCCTGGTACCTGTTGATATTTGAGAAAAAATCACTTTTAGCTTTAAAAGCAGTGGATCGGCAAAATCCAACAACTCAGGATTCTAACGCGGTAGGTTCCTTATCGCTCAATCATGAAAACAGTGCAATTCGGGTTGCACAGCATGCTTTCCCTGCCGAGAAAATTGCTCTCAAGCTTACACGTGCAGGCCAATCTTACACGCATACGGACGAGTTGGCAATTTCCTTCTCACCATTGGAAGCTGCCCGCCGCGATGCCATAACCGTTGGGTCCTGCAACGATTTATTAGCGTCATCAGCCTTGCTCCACTCGTCCAATTCCAAAGGGAAGGGCATTGAAAAACGCTCGTTTCCGCCGTTTTCAAGCTTTCAAAAGTGGATTTTCGGAATCAGTGTATTGAATAACCCCAGGTAAGCGCAAATGTGACCAGGTTGAGATTTGCCGAGCCACTGCCTTTAAGAGCCTATAGTGCACGGCCATTATTTTTGCACCAACCTGATATTTCTGAGCGTAAAGGAGGGTGTTTCTTATGCTTAAGTGCAAAGGCAATCTAGTTGCTGAAATTATCTGCAAAAACATATTTTTCAACGATGAAAATTAGCAACTTGCTTTGGCGAATTGAGAGAAGACGGAAACCATCAAAAGCGCCATCAAGTGCTGGTTGACATTATTTAAATACGAAATTACATGTATTAAAGCCACAATTGTAATACACATCAAAAGTCATCCTCGGGACTCCATATCAAAATTCAATTGGATAAGCGCTACAATAAGGATTTACTTACGAGAAAGCCATTAAGTATCTTAAGCTGCTTCCCGTCGACCTTGTGTTAGTCATAAAAATGTGCAAGAGGCTTATTTATATGTAAGTAATTAAAATAATTTTTTTAAAATTCAATTTAGCTTTATTTTTGGGGGCGTGGCTCACGCTTCTAAAATTTTGGGGTTACGGGCTTGCGAAAATTTCGAGAGGCGTACCAAAAAATTTTTCTGGGTGCGTGGCTTTTAAAAATTTTTCGTTCCTCCCCCCCCCCGAGCCGAAATCCTGGGTCCGCCACTGATGGCCTATGCTTCTAAATAAGAGATACAGATCGCACACAGGCAAAGGAAGAGAGCTGCAGAGAGGTAAAACATTTCAAAATGCACACTTCTTTATAACTCATGTGCCTTGCGGTTTTCAAACTTGTATTTTGCATTTGCGTGATGAGAAGCCCGAAGAACTATCACAAAACTCATTTGATTGCGCACCCTGCAAGCGTGTTTCTTTCACAAAGCTTCGATTCTGAATTATTCTGGAAGTCTTTTGACTTTCGATTGGGTCCCATCATCTGCAGGTGTCATAATCAGAAAGTAGGCTGTTAGCGTTCTTCGCTCACCGCTCTTTCAAACTGTTTTTGGGTTAGGTATCGAAGAACCGCGGTGACTGTTGCTACCGCTGTTATTGCTGTTGAATGGTGGGATAACCAACATTGCAATCTCATTTCTCCTGCAAGTTTTCACCCTCTGGTGAACAGTGGTAACGTAGCACTGGTAACACCGACAATATATCCCTAAAGCATAAGGCCTACGGTGAAAAAAATCGGTCAGTTTGGGTGCTCAAGTGACGGTCTTAGCAAGCTTCATAAGCTACAATAACGATCATGCCTCACCACACTTCGAGCAACTCGACGCGGTGACAGTTTGGCCAGGTGCCGTGGTTATCTCGCCTACATCTGTAAGTGCAAAATACGTTTGAGTTGTTCTTACAGAAGTATTGTGCAAACGATGAAACCCAGCGAAACGTCCCATAAGTTGTTTATGAGTAACTTATAACAAACGTCATTATACGAAACGCTGAGGTGCAAGAACGCAAAAACTGCGCAATCCCGTGGCCCAATTAATTGAGGATCGATTAACAGCTGATTGCCGCCAGGAAACTAAGAAATTGAAAGGTGAGTATTGTCCTTTTCTTCGGCTTCACGAGCTTAATAATTCAGACATTCAAATTATATGTACACATGTCCGCATCGTGATCGCTGGGACGACTGAAAATGCACTGAGACGCGTAGGCTTTCTTAGGTTCAACTTAGCCCAGTCTCACTCGAGTTGCGTTAACGAGTTGCTTCGGCAGTTAGTCTCTCGAAAACGGTTTCCAAGACCTGAGGAAATCTGACTCCCTCACACTGCTTTGGTCACTTATCACATTATTTATGTACTAGTCTTTCAGAGTGGATTGAAATAAGCACAAATCAAATTGAACTATGAGCTTTTTCAGTGTTTTTAGAGCACTCTTATTCTTCTAAGCTTTTCAGGCTACATCTTTCCAAAAAGAACTTACTACACCATTGAATCAGTCAACGTCTTTTTTCTATTCTACTGGATTTTTTGTTTTATAGTCTACGCTTAATGCATTATGATTGAAATGGCGCACTTATGTGCAATAAATATCAAATATCAAACTACTGCCAGCCTAAAACCTATGCAAAGCAAATGATGCTTTGGGAAATATGCAGTTTCTAGAATGGATTGAGTCCTGCAATTTCGGGGGCATATTCACAGAAGTTGACTTGAGAACTAGCTAACAGAAGGAGAAGTGATGATATTAGTGCGTGCATGCTGCATAATCCGTTTTGTCTTTTTTCAAAAAACTCAGGCGCTTTTTTCTCGATTTTCGTACTCTGAGAGTGAGGAATCCATCTAAAATTGAAAAAAGTGAAAAACAACAAGACAATACATCTTATTCAGTCGTGGTACGGTGCATATAGTTCCGCGTTCTTCTATAGGTTCTGTTCCTCGCTAACGGTTTTCATAACTCTATCTATTACCCTTTATTGGGGAAGAACATGCGTCTCTGGTTTTTCTACATTCACTCATTTTGAGCATGTGACTTCTCATCAACAATTCCCGATCATTCCTTCGCAATTATCAACTTTGTTTAGAAAATAGAAGAAAAGCATGTCAAACAAGGTGACTTTTGAAGCTGTTAAAACTACACTACTTTATAGCCTAGCAGGGGCTGCAAATAGCGAATGAGAAATGGTCTCTTTTTTCAATTAGGCAGTCACAAATTTGGCCATTGAGATAAAAAGGATACGATTTCTCGAAAATATGGTACATTTTGGACCAACTTGATGGATACTAATCCGTAAGTTTTGAGAAAAGCTTGTGGTAGTTGTCCCTAAAACAGGCAGCTACTCAGGCCATATATCATTAAATGCTACTGCATGACGAAAGCATAAAGGCAGTATTAGTTGAGAGGACAACGCGGCGCGCGCGTATCTTCACCGTTGTAAATCCTGCGCCTCATGCGCTCCGCGGCTAATAAAGAGCGTTCGCACCCAAAGTTATTGTGCCTTCCTCGTGCAGCAGGCTATACCTAAATATCAATATCTGTAGCTCCGAGCAAAGAACAATATGGAGATTGTTGAGCATTCCGTCAGCCCAAAAACCGAGCAGAATAGCTAATTAATGAGTTACCCTAGAGCTATCCTCTCATATCTCGTTGAAATTGTGCTACAGTTGCCATTTAAATCTCAGTCCACACAGCTCCGCCGTAAGTGTATTATAGGTATTGATAAAACCCGCGAAAGTAGTGTAAGCGCATATCTAGATCTGTAAGTGCTCGTGAGCAACTTACGGAACGTGAGATAATGGCCCGTAGTAAACCCCCCATCCGGGCATCTCTCTCGAAGCGGACCGCAGTTGAGGTCATCGCGCTTCAGTCCAGCATCCAGTGAGCTACTGATTTGGATGTGGATCGCTTCCTAGACATGATAACCACATGTGTTCTCAAAAAACCAACCACTTGAGCTGGTCTGGTCAAACGGATAAGCGATTGGAATCGCATGCGCGCGGTCGTGGTTCGACACCGGCTAGCGCCACAACTTTTGCTGCATCGCCGGACAATCTTTGATAGCGGCCACTGTCGAAAAAAATCGATGATGACCGCTAACAAGGATATCACTTAGAAAATGGACAGATGAAACAAAACTGACATATTTTGACGGAAAATTCATGAAAAACTGAAATTTTTGGAACATAAATAAAACGTAATAAATAAGTAGATTCTCTTCTAAAGTAGTTTTTACAAGAAACTAAGATTGCTCTGCAAAAAAAGAAGAAAACTTTTATCCTTGCTTTTGTCGCCAAAATCAGCTGTTCATCGATCCTTCCCTTTTCGGGCGCCGGTATTGTGCAGTTTTGCGCCGATTTTTTCTGCATTTTTGGCAAAGTTGTGTGTATCGTAAGTTACTCAGGAGCAACTTATGTCAGATGCAGTCACCTCTTGTCTGCGTCTCCTCTTCTACACACTATTTGGATCACTCTAACATCCGTTCACGTTGAGGTGACTTGAACGTGAACTGATGTGGAAGAGTTGACTGCGGCAGGTGGACAGATGGTCAATATCAGTTGACTTGACCATCTTATAGCACGGGAACGTGGACGGTGATCAGTTCACCTAACCTAAGGTGAACTGATGGGATAAGTTGAGTTCACCTCAACTGATCGAGCTTTACTACGGGCCAATGTCACTGAGGCCACTTGCGAAGCCTATGCGTAAAAGGATTGATGCAGCTGATTGCAACTTGGAATAAAAAAAACGAAGCTCTTTCTTCTTTTGCTGTTTTCATTTTTGCTTAAGATGGTCTTCGTTTGGCATACCACGCGGTTTGACGATACTCCAAATGCGTATAATTATACGTATGCTTATCGTAAGGGCATTCTAAATGTACAGAATACGGCATTTTATCGATTCACAAATGTTATACAAGCTGCATTGGTAGCCTGCCATTGTCGGATTTGAAGTGTGGAAATTGCCAGATCGCGTGGTGAGTCTCGTGGTGTATGCATGAGGCAGAGAACGAGAGTATACTATTTTTATTACACTATTTATCCAAAAATTATTTTTTTGTAAAATCAACTTTTTTCCTCTCCGTTTTCTAAGTAGAATTTTTGGTAGTGATCATCATCAACTTCGCAATGGTTGGCCGTTTAAAGATTGCTTGTCGATGTAGCAAAGCAAGTCTCATAAGCCGATCCGAACCATGACGGTGCCGGCTGAATCGCAATTGTTCATTCGACCTATTTGCACAGATGGCAAAGTCATTTCTAGAAATTAAGCGATTTCTACAAAGCTGTGCGTACTCAAATAAATAGCTCGGTTGATTCTGGCCTGAGTGGCCATAAGGTCAGCTTAAGCTTGCCTTAATTTTGAACAAAAATTGAATCGTTGCTTTGACTTACTCTTCGAGCACCCTGGTCTGGTGAATATACATAGCACTTCACGGAAACGGCGATTTCGATGTGTGTCAATAGGATTATCAACTCTTAAGCATATGATTATATCGATGAAGCCAATCAAAACGACTCCAACTCAGAACAAATATTACAGGATACAGGAGAGCAAACTCAGAGTTTTGGCAAGGATCTAGAGATCAACACACCGTGCATCCTTGTGTAAAGAAGAAATTCAAATGATCTTTCTCATCAACATCCGAATATCACTTGTTGCCCTGATGATCATATCAAACTACGGGATCGGTCAAAGTTTGCCAGTATTGCTGTTGATAGTGTTGGATGTGGAAATCATCACTCTTGCAGTCTCATTCTTCCTCCTTGGGTCTAAACGGCCGGTGAGTATGTTGGAAATGGAAAAAAATGGAAATATTAGTACAACCATTCAGACAATCGCCGGGGGCAGGCGGGCACCGGAAAAATAGATTGTTAATCTCTCGCACCCCGCTCGCGGATTTTTTGCAAAGCAATCAGGACTTTTCGGAAGACCGCTTGCTGAATTCTCGATTCCTCAGAGATTCAGCAATATATCTGCAAAAGATAAGAGCGAAAAAAAATTCAACAGGCGGTCTCTCAAAATTCCGCTGACTCAGCAAGCGATCTTCCGAAAAGTAATGATTGCTTTGCAAAAAATCCGCCAGCGGGGTGCGAGAAATCAGCGATCTATTTTTCCGGTGCCCGCCTGCCCCCAGCGATTGTCTGAGCAGTGCGTCACCTCTGCTTCGCAGAGGCTCGCACTGGCTCTACTATCTAGGCCCTACTCATTCTCGCATAATGATGGCATTGGAACTCACCGAGCAATGCCGACTATCACGAACAAAATGTAAACAACTACTCATTCCGAAAGCTTTTTCACGTGAAATCGGTGATTTCGCGTGGATGAGACTTTTTGCAGGATAACAAACCCAAATTTTTATAGTTTTGATATTACCATGGTTTTGACAGTTGCAATAAGAACAGCAGTCACCGTGAGATATATCTTTGTGAAAAAATCTCGCCAAATGCTCTGGTAGAACCTTGACAAAACCATTTGCAACCAATACTTTTTACCGTTTTTGCAAAGTAATGGACTTTTGATCACTTTTTTGGGCCTAAGTCCATGACTTGCTCATTTACTTGCTATGAACATCCACGACACTGCGAAAAGTGGAATTACGGACCCAATTTTGGGGGCCAAATGCAAAGTGGATCCGTTTGACGCGCAGTTTCAGAGGAGTCCACTCAACGAATCTGCTCGTGCTTTTGCTTGTTGGACTTTCATGCGGGTAGCATGCTGGAACTCGCACTACGATTTTCATGACAGACAGAGATACACACACACACACACACACACACACACACACACACACACACACACACACACACACACACACACACACACACACACACACACACACACACACACACACACACACACACACACACACACACACACACACACACACACACACACACACACACACACACACACACACACACACACACACACACACACACACACACACACACACACACACAGAGAGAGAGAGAGAAACGTAGACAAACGTAAACTTAGCCCGTTATTATAAGTTATGATTAAAGATAGGTTCATAATTATACGAACACCCCACATTTTGCTATTTTCCAAACTTTTCAAAAGAAATGCAAGAAACTTTTGGTACCATGAGAAAGAGCGTAATCGAAAATAGTGTGCGCGCTACAAGAATAGAAATTGTTGTCAATCTTGGACAAGCATTGTGCGTCAAACACATTTTTGGTCGTTTCATATCTATACGAACATCTCAATCAGAGGTTTTTTTTGCTTAATGGCGACGTCCGGACAAGATCCACTCACCCAGGTTAGCACATAATTGTAAAGCGGGCCCCACGAGTATCAGATCTGCGTCCGATCCTTTGACGTGGCCTCTAAAAGGAGATACGGGCCTGCGATACGTATCACAAAATATCGTATCTATCACGTATCACACCCCTCGTGTCACAAACCTCCCCCTGAGAACGTGTGCTCATGCATCAATCGATCACGATTGCAAGCGCACCCATGCAGTTGCAGCTCCTCCTCGGTGGCGAGTCGAGGGGATAAACAATCCGAAACTCGTCCGCGCCCTCAAAATAGGGTCTCCAGGAATTGGGTTTTTTGAGGGTTTTGGACAGTTTGAACTTTATACTGTAACCAAGGCCACGGAAGGGCAATTGAACGACAAAAATATGAGAAGCGGAATTTTGCTCGGACGCTGCCTTTAACGCTGCAACCTTCAACATCCAAACTTTCATGTAAGGGTACGATTTCAAAGTCTGAGACACCACTACGCCCTGGACCTGATAATGTTTAAAAAAGCGAGCTGTATTCTACTCTAATAGCTTGAAATGGCTGCGCACCAAGTAGGCTCCAAAATGCTTGCTTGATCAACATTTTTAATTTTTGTCCAGCTCATACGATTAAAGGATGAGGGACCATTGAAGTGCGGACACAACGCTCAAAAACATTGATGTAATCGTCCTAGTTGCCAACCCAGTCTCAAATTCACCATAAGGTTTGGCACACTTTTGAACCTCAAAACTCAACTTCCGCAATCCGCGAATTTCTGTAATGTTGTAAGAACATCTAATTTCGATTAACAACTAATTTTTGTATTTTGTTCAAGATACTCAGATGTAGAGCATTTTGTTTTCACCACGCACTCGATATAAATGAAAATGAATATGCAACTCAACGCAAGCATGCTTTCTTTTGCTTTCTAGCTCCGGAAACTTTAAGAAAAGCCTTTGCGAAAAATTTCAAAAACTTTAGCACAGATATGTTACCGCACACAAGCGATGCATTTTCCTCATCATAGAACTTTGCGGAGTGCGGAAGCCAAATTTTGAGGCTTGAAAGTGTGAATTATATAGTAAATTATATAAAGTATTAGCGGGTGTAGATTCTTCGGGGATTTTTGCCTTGGTATGCAATGTATTACGGTGAAATGGACAACAAGAATGGTGGTTCAGTGGTTTATTGGGATTACTGCAACGGAGAGCGTGAGATTGTGACCTTGGGTGGTCAACATGTGATCAAGAGTGAGGTGAGACCTCCCAGGTGGACGCATGGCAGACATGGCCTGCCCACTCGGCTATGACGTCATATGGCACGGGTATCTGGAATCATCGATCGGTCGATGATAGAGAGAGACTAAAACGGTCAAATTTTCGTTGATCGCTGAGCTCTTTGACGAGTACTGTTTAAGTTTTCATCGTCTTTTTCGGTTACCGGTTTAACTTACTATGTACATCTTGTGTGAATGATTTTTTCTCCGATCCCATGACCTTAAAAGCAGCATCTAGGATTGAGCCATTCTCTATTGCTACAATAAAAATAGAACAATAGAAATAGTATTAACACAAATAGAAATGGAAATGCTTTTGAATTTGATTTTGCATGCTGATCCTCAATACAAACTTTTTGAAAGATAGAAGACTTTTGACATGGGCAAGCTCCACCTTTGAAGGTGCTGTTAAAATTTAATGAGTACTGCTTATTTAGCGTCAAATCCTCCGCTTTCGTTATAAGTGGGCAAAAGACCTACCTAGCAACGTGCAAGTAAAAACTAGTGATCTCCACATTCAACACTTTTGAAAACTTTCAACATCGGCAACACTTTCAACAACGGCAATTTTCAACACCGGAGACACTGGCAAACCCTGACCGACCCCTAATATGTATGTCTGCCGTTACTATTCAATTGCGGCCATATTCGCTATTGACATTCTGTAGCAAAAACCTTCCACACGGTAGTGTAATCTTCTCATAACCAATAGTGGAAGCAACTTTTAACGAAAGTAAGGGATAGTGGAACTTGAAAAGGGGTACCTTCAAATTTTTTGCGATTTCCTCGAAGTTCCATTTCCCATTAAAAATGTTTCAATGTAGCTGAAGTCGAGCCGAAGCTAGATTGAGTGTACTAGCCATTTTCAGCAATATAAGATGCCTAAAAAGACGCTTAGGCTCACATTTTTAGGTGGCATGCGAAGCACGTTTTGGGATTTACGCTGTAACATAATGTTTGACTCCTTTCCATAAATGCTATCAGTTACACTGTAGTTTTCATATTCCATGATGACTGACGCTTTGTTTATCTTCATAATTTTGGACGTCTTGTTTGCACATGCAGAACTCTGACATTCTACCAACATGATTGTACTGCTGGCGGAGCATTAGCCTCCGCCTTATGCCGAGCTTGTTGTTACAGTTTGAGTAAGAGCAAAATTTATCTCCAAAGATTTTTGATATAAGTAGATGAGACTCCAGTTTATTGCATTCACATAGCTATGAGAAAATGCACTTGTTTCAGATCTCGTTTCACTTTCCGAACCAACCGCCATGGTAGCCCCCCGATGCTCCAAAACTACCACCATAAGCTCCGATACCACCCAATCCACAACCGAATCCGCCGTATCCTCCATATATGTTGTATTCAAATCCAAATCCACCATAACCACATCCGCCCTGAAAGCATGTGAGCCGAGCATTTGAGTGATGGAGCATGAAGATGTACACGATCACCAAGAAAGCTTCCGCTCCAAAACTGGCTAAGCAAAGCACAACTAAAGCTGACACAAGAGTGCTAAAATTTGTGAATTTTATAAAGTGCGACTATATGCTAACTGAAAGCTTACGATCGTAGCGATGACATCTTGGTAGGCTCTGGGACGAGTGTCGAGTCAAACGCAGCTTAAATACGTTCGTTTTTTCTTCTATTTAATAAACTGTTAACCTCTGACACGTTTTATTTACTGTGCGTATTCAAAACTGCTAAATACGAGGAACTAGCAACGCTTTCCAATTTTCCAGATGTTTACTTACTCGTGCACAAACATTTCAGGTCGTTTCGCAAAGAAACTGGAAGTGGAACCAGGTCATAGTGAAATATGACACCATTTCCTGTGCTCATGGCATCTTGCAAGTCAGAAATGTATGCACACGCCATGTAGCAGCAAATGCCATGGAAGTTACACACATTGGAACTTGCAATACAAGCAATTAACTATAACAATCCTAAATCGCTGTTTGACTATCAGCACGGGTTTTCGTGAAATTCTCCACTTCAAATCCTGCTATCAGTTATCAAAAGAAATCTCTTTATTGCCGGCAGCGTCTTAGATATGGACTTCACCTTAGTTCGTTTACTCAAGTGCTCAGTTTTTTGTAGACGCTGTTAAGCAAAAACCATCTAAGTTTTAAATACTGTATTGGACTAAGCACTAGAACTGACCTAGTCTTGACTGTTACCTATTGAGCGTCTATCTGTCAGTACCCTTCAACGATATCAAATTCCAAAATTTTATCTAAACCTTAAGAGATCATTGCTTCCTATGCACCATATGCAAGCCCTTACTTAAGTGAATATTCAAAATTTTTGAAGGACTTCAAAGAAACTCAATGAGTTTTCCTTTTAGCCGTTGACGCTCTATTCAAAATTCAGCGTTTGTTCTAACAGGGGAAGGATACTTGGATGCCGTAGCCATTCATAATGATTTGTATACCAAAAAATGCGCTTTTGAATGCTGGCTCGTAGACTGTCTTTCATATCTGCGAAACGACAATCTGAATGGAGTTATGATTTTTTTCATTAAAAAAATTGCGTTCCTGCGGAGGGTCAAAATCATCAATAAAAAAATTTTCTCTCCTTTCCAAATGCTGAGTATGATCCAGATAGTCTAAATAAATATTACTACGTCTAAAATTTTCTTCAGTAGCATCAAACGGTAGGCTAGATCAAATCTGGTGATTTTTACTATACAAAAGTAAGCTAAATTTTCAAGAAAAAAAGTTCATAACTTTGTTCAAAAGATCGTTTCTCAGATTTCGAGCACAGATTCAGAATCTGCATTCGAAGGCGCATTTTTTGGTATACAAATCATTAAGAATGGCCGCGGCATCCAACTATCCTTCCCTTGTAAGTAACTGAATCACTTGGCTTTAAACTCATGTCGTGCAATTCCACAATCTGTACTTGCTTCTGGAATTTACCGAGAGGTTTTGAATTGAAACCTTCAAGTATTGTTTCTGAGCCTAGGATAAAATGAAATGACTAATAACAGTTTTTCTATCCACTACTAAGCAGATGTGTAACCAATTTGTTCATGAGTGTTGACTGTGATTGTGATGGACATCAAAATGTCACAATTTCTAGCTTGTTTTTTGGTTTGTAATGTGGCAATAACACGGGACCATTTTGTTGGGGAAAACGCACTTTCAATTTTGTTGGCATTTGCAAGTATCCAAGTCATTATGAGGATTCTTGTCTTGACAATCATTTTTCTTTATCTTCTCGAGACTGGGAATTCGTTTCTATTCCGGTACACCTTGAGTTATTTATGAAATAAAATAAACCGTAGTATTTCTGTTTTCAACTGATTATTTTCTGAAATTTTGCTCTCCACATCGGACATCTGAATATCACCTCCTATTAACTTGGAATCATGTTAGTTTAAGTCTAGTTCACTCCTACTCTTGAAATTTCTTCCTCACAATTTGCTTGGTTTGCTGAAGGTTCATGCTTGAACTTTTGCCCGGAATCCTTGGCCGCCGGCATACTGGTCCCACTTCCAGACTATCCTCATGGGGTTTTGTAAAGATGGTTTTTGCTGGCAAAGAGGCGGTGTAGGTAGCATAAGCTCCAAAGCTATGACGGTCTATTACTTGCTACAGTCGCAAATTGCAAGCTGGTCTTTACCTTAATCTAAGGCTCGTTCAAACTAATCCGAAAGTTTGGGAACAATACCACCACAGCGCTCGAACTAAGCGCAGATGCTGAACTGTATGCCTACGTTGACTTAAGTGTAGACAAGATTTTTTAGCGCATGAGTTTTGGGAACTGCTTTTTGTGGAAAGCGTAGATTGTATGAATAAATGCTTCAATAGACTAGCAATACTTATACTTCATATCCAAAGATAAACGTCTGCTCGCTCTTGCTTTGCTGGATGGATTCAAGTGGAGTGACATTCACGTAAGTTGCAGCTTCTAATTTGCCCTTGAGCTAGGGTCGAAGATCTTCCATTGTCCGAAATATGTGTAAATGAGAAAAATCTCACGAAACTCTCTGGACTGATTGTGAGCAACTTACGGGATGGCACCTTAGGTCTTGACAGTACCTTACGCGATTTCAGGAGGCACGCAACTTGGCACTCCAATTGAACATAGCACATCGTGCGCGCATTTTGCATGTGCAAAGGATAAGACAGTCTACGTACAACAATCTACGAAAGTTGTACTTACTATACGTTTACAGCTGCCAATGTTAGATTTGAAGGCAATTTGCCAGATCGCCTATGTTTGATCTTTCTTAATCGGAAGTTCCACATTTATTTACAGTACGGGAACCTTCGCTACATTATGCTGACAGTGGCCATGGTTTGCTGTTGTGTTGTGATTCTACTCGAATGTTATATTACTAACTAGCTGGCAAACCCGGCTCCTCCCGGCCCTGTCAGTAATATATTCGTAACAGCTGCTCACCTACCCCCCCCCCCCCGTTCCAACTTCCAGCCCGTAGCCGTAGCTCAAACTTTGAAAAAATCGACAGAATCGATAACGATCGATAACAAAAGGTAGCCTACGACACCCTCCCTTCCCCTCCCCCAAAGTGTATGTGTGCCAAGTTTGGTTTGGATCGGTTCATAAATGAAAATTTCTATTTGGAACATACGTACACACATACATACATACAAACAAACAGATATTCAGTTTTATTTATATAGGCAGTAAGTATCTATTCATTGAGGAATCAGTTTGATGCGAGTATTGCTTGCTAGAAAGGACCACACCAGCTTCTTTCGAGCTCATAAATCTCCTCGGGTTTTTCCAATCTGTTCAAGGCTGGGCAGTTGAGTTGATGAGAGCGCAGCCGAACGGATTCCGCGTAAGCCTCTGTACATGAGTGTTTCTTCGGTGCTACACCTGGCATCCAAATAAACATGCAATCATGCAATTTTCAACTTTGAAGGCAGTGGCTCAGCAAATCCTCGATCTGAGTTTCATTTTGCTTATGCTTTTGGACTACTTGAAGAAACAATGCGCCTATGCATTTGAGACCCGCGCACGATCAATCTATATACATCCGGCCAATCGCCAATCCGCGTAGATGTAGCCAAACGAAATCCCAGGAAATATGCCTAGGCCTGAGAAAGCGCGAGATTGGCAAAAATATTTTTCACGGCCCCTCGATCTGAATTTGGAGTGGACTGCCGCTAAGGTTGCAATGCAGAATCGTTGTGAGGTGCGGTTACCCTTGCGGTTGTAACAGTGCGGCATGCCGCCTCCAACGCTGGGAATGAAATTGCGATCTTGTCCGTGCGCGTGTAAGAATGGCTTGATCGCACGGGTTCGAGGTCATTTGGCAGGGGTAGCATTGTGAAATGACAGGAAATGCAATGGAAGGAGTAAATTCTACTGAGCTCTTAAGAAAAACTGTGATCGTGCAACTCATCAACATATTACAAAAGTCAAACATTACAGTTATGGTCAAAAATATTTCTTTTTACTCTCATGTGACATTTTTAGGCGCCCACACACAAATTTTTTAAGATGCTGCAACTAGCGCCAGCCAAAATAAAACGAAAAGTAAGAACTATCCTTATTTGAACAAACTTTACGCTTCCGCTAGAGATTTGCTAAAGCAGAGCGAAAATTTGTCAAACCAATATACGGTCATTGTATTCCTGCAATTCAAGCATATTCTACTTCAAACTAGTAAATAAGACATACATTGTTGGAAGACGGCCAAATGTTCGTGATATTTCAACAATTTGCACTTTGAATAAAATTCGGATCGAAGATCACAATAATAACTATTTTGGCAAAAAAATAAAAGTCGTATTATCCGCACTAGAAGTTGAGCGTTCTCAACCCGTAGCAAGTTACAAAACTACAAGTAAGGGAGACCCCTTCGCACCAAAGTGGGTCTAAAAACCTCCACATGTCCAAAAACGCTATAGGAATGCAAGAGCTTGTTCCAACACATTGACGACAACGTGGACCACATGGTGGATCACGTTGTCGCCAATATGACTGGCAGGTGGGACACTGTGACCCACAGGTGGGTCATGGCCTTAGATTTTGTCAAAATAACTACTATTCTGGGATAGAATTGTTGCCCGAAGTCTCCTATGCTCGGGGCTTAGCAAATACTTCCGTACTTTTAGGCTGCTTGACGTTACTGTGGGCATACTGTAAATGACAATCTGCGTGATTTTAGCTAAAAATTTCCAACTCATTTGTATAAGGCATTGTCCCATAGGGCGGTCAACTAAAAATGCGCGTTGTCGTCAACGTGTTAACGAATAATTGAATAATCAAAACGAATAATTAAATAATTAATAATTAACAAATAGTTAAATAATTAATAATCAAATAAATTCGAATAATTGACTTCATTGTTATTACGAAAAAATGCTCACCAAAAAATTTTTTGGAAGTTGTCTTTGCCTTGGTTTACGCCACTCAATTCTGTGTAAACTTTTGTGGTTCCTAAACCTCGAGGAATATTTTTGGGACAGCCACCGTCAGGTAGGTGCTTATGTTTTCACAAACAAAATGTCTATGACTGCAAACTCGTACTCATATTTTTTATTTCCCGAATGATTTGTCATTTCTCTGCATGTACGACCTTATCCTCATACGAAAAACACCTGTACTGACGATTTTTGAAAATTTATTCTTTTATTTACACACGTATGACGAATGATTTCGAACAGCGGACACTAGCAAATTCTCGAGACTAAACAGAAAAATATCAACATGCATACAGACATCAACAAAAGCAATATCATCAATATATGGAAAGCGGCTAGGCCAGCCATAAATCCCAGAATTATCGCAGCGCATGTGCAGCGGCGGCTCAAATGCAGTGGACCTATCTCAACTTCAAAATCAAATTTTTTTTGCTTTGGTGAAGTAAAATTAGTGCAAATGGAAATTTCGAGAACAATGTGAGAACCTATTCTATGTGAAGATTGAGGTCCTTCAATATGTTACAAAGAGAATAGAAGGATCGGATTCTATGAATTTGCAAAGATTAAGCTCTGTATATATGGACAGGCACGCATATCTCATGCTAAGTTTTGGAATGCATGAAAAATACTCGGCTTTAGAGCGTCCGTAAGTTTTTTTCTTATTACTCGGGTGGATGCACGGGGTGCCACTTCGTCACGGTAATGCCGGTGCCCTGAAAAAGACATTTTTTATGGCCAACTTCCAGGAGTTCCGAAGGGGTAAAATTACTTACTTGTATCATTTGCTCCCAATGCTCTTGCGCATCAGGTGAGCTGGAATTTAAGCCCAAAGCCAACCATCCTAGCAATTGTCGGCGCCTCAGCACACCTACAGAGCTCCACACTTCGATTCGTACCGTACATACGTCCAGATCGGGACGATGTAGCTGAAATTAAACCTCTAATGAGCTAACAGTCGCAAGTACTACTAAACTAATCAAACATATTGCAGAAAATACTCAAATGCCGTCTTGCTGGACCACGGTTTGAGACCTAGCATTATCGAAAACGAATTCTTTGCGGCTATCAGAGAATAGGACTTTCTCTATGGCTAAACCAATCTCTCACTGGAACATAACAGGACTAATAAGTGTATCAGTGACCGACACGCCCCCCACCCGGTGCCTCAAAAATAGTTTTGGTGACATTATCTCAGACAATTATTGCGACCACCCGCGGAAGGGCCCCCGCCGACGTTTCATCCATGCCGCGGGTGGTAGAATAAACGCAAGCTAAGCGGCCGGGAGTTACCCGCGCATGCGCCGGTAAGCGCTCGAACGACACCCGCGGATGTCCAGACAAGCACCCGGCAGATGCGCGATATACATCCGCGGGTGGCCCGATAGGCGGTTGCTAAACGCAGTAATGTACATCTTCCATTTTTTGATCGCCTGTTTCCGTACATCGGTCAGCATATGCGCCAAGGTTTGTCTTCCGTCGTGGGGCCCAGGTTCCAGCTTCGGGTAACCCTGGGAAGACCCTCAGCGGACCGGCTTCTTTGGTACTAGCCACATACCCACAAGCGGTAAGCAACAACTTAAACGTTTAGGGTACCACTATCTGCGCGGCGTATCTCACGCGAGTAACGTTTTTGCTTACAGCGTGTAAGATTTGCGGCGTCCGGCAGGGCCCGTGGCTCGTCCGACTGTCTTGTCTTAGGCCGCGAGTGTTCCCATAAAACAGTTATGGCCCGCGGCCTTTCCCTCGCGATAGCATTGAGCCGCGGGTTGCCAAAGAAATTAATTTAGGGCAGCGGATGGTCAGTTCAAGAATTTAGTGCCCGCGCACCGCCAAAAAACGACGGTAGGGGCCGCGGATGCTCGTAATAATTGTCTGAGATGGCACTTGGGTTGTAAATTTGTGCAAGCCACCTCTTTGTAGATTCAATAGCTTTGAAATCCTGCATATGTTTTAAATTGAACGTGAAGTGAGTGCTACTATGCTCTTCTCAATTATACAGTGCTTGTCATTCAGTTATACTACGTCTACCGCGCCTTCCTCTCACCCGCCCCAGCTGCCGCTTTTAGGGCCGGGCATATTTGACGCATTTCAGTCGCAACGAGATTTGGCAATATTCCAACTGCTCATAACTTACTGCAAGCACATTTCAAATGTGTAGAAGTTAGGGCATTTTATTAATCCACGTAAGTTACACAAGCTAAGCACGTGCAGTTTGCTAGTGTTGCATCTGAAGACTTCTGGCGATTTGCCAAATCGCATCGCGACTGCAACGCATAAAGTATGCGAGGCCGTTTTCTCTCACTAAAAAGGAATTTTCTGGACTGCGTTAGAGTTTACCATTTATGTTTAGCTGCGTTATAACGCACTGTTTTTTTTAATTCATTCAAAGCAAAAAAGAACTGTCCACTTCGCATAATGTGAGACCTCTGCAGACCAATGAACGCTGTACTTCGTTTTCTTCCAAAAAATTTGAAATTGACTCAGATCCAATCATGAGAAGCACTGCTACACCCTCCACGATTCAACGGTGTCGAAACCGTGCTAGCGCGGTAGACGTAATCTGCACGAATTTTCCAAGTAATAGTTAATGAAAATTCAATGTCGAAAGACGTAATTTCTCGCAAAACTTCGATTCTTTTCCAGGAAGGTATGATTGTGACGGACGCTTACGTGCATTTACTGGCAGATGGGATGAGAAAGGGTTATGGTAGGGAGCACTTGGACGAAGTCTGGCCACTTACAAAAATTGTAGCATGAAAAAGCACTACGAATTGGCAGATTAAGATTTGGCTTTTGATGGTCTTTCACCCTTTATAGAATCTACTCTGGAAAGTGATCCCATACGAAGCTTTAAGCTTCAATGAGCTGAAATTTCGCTATTTTTTTCTATTTTCCTTGGAATGTGCCTACTGGTTTTCGCTACTTTTTCTGTTTTCCTTACAATGTACCTCTTACCCGTGGGAGGTTAACATTTACCGCGATATCCTTTCAGTATTTTCCTCCTACGATTATTTATGCATATTCCAACTATGGTTTATAACGAGACCAACCTGGATACTAGCTGAATGGTCATATTGTGGTTCCGATGTACCTTTGACTAGTTCAGTTTTCTGGCGCCAAAGTTCATTTCCGAATTCTCCCAAGGCGACAATCTTGATGAAAGTGTCTAAACATCAATAAAATCAATCTCCAACAAAGTACAATGGCAAAGGCATTGGAAAAGCACAAACCTGGTGGTCTGCATTTATCTCCAAGTGACGATCCTCGTTCGATACCAACCGTTAAACATCCATGATCGGTATCGTAGCATAATGCGATTAGCAGCTGAAAAAGTCACAATTTTGGCGGGGAAATCGCATAAGAAAAAGTCTTCTGATTTTTTTGCCCATAGGGCCAAAAACAAACCTCCGGGGCCCCATTAGTGGGCTGACTGCAAAATCGTCCACATGCGTCGACCATACTGTTTCGTCGACTATCGCCTGAGGCAACGCTACCATTCGAAACTCGATGCATTGTCGGCGAAAGTCCAGACTGAAACAGAAATTTCTCAGAAAATTTGAAACTTCCAACATCACATGGATCTCCCAGGGAAAAAGCAAGAAAATGTTTGAAGAGCCGAGCCAAAAATAGACAGGCAAGTTTCCGGAGATGTATGAAGAAACACAAGAGCTCTTGTCTATTTCAAGAGCCGGCAAGCAATTTGACTAGGAAGTCTCGGGTAGAAAGAAAGAAAAAAGGCAGTCGTCTTTTTTTTTGCAAGGGGAATTGAAAGAAGACACTTGGAAGCTTTTTTCTTTCTTGCAATATGAGATGCAAATAGATCTGTTTGAAAAAGCTCTGCAAAATTTTCTGGAAAAGTCTGAGTTACAGAATGGAGCGGGGATTTTCTGAAGCCAAAAATAAAAGTTTGAACTTCTTGGCAAAGAGCCAAAACATTAAAACTTTTAGATTTCTTGTGTGTTTTACTAGGATGTACTTAGCTATGTACATACATACGACACATGTGTGCCACACACGAACACTTGACATTCTTTAATTGAGGAACTTCCGAAAATAGCGAGTTGAGCAGAGGAGTAAACAAGGGCTGAGAGCTTCTCAAGAGCTTTTAGAAAAAGCTTGGATTAATCCGAGCATTGAAAAGCTAGACGGTTGGGATATTTCCAAGATTCTAAAGCCCAAGTCTGACATTTGATATCGCCAATCATCATTCTGAACTCTTTTCCTAGGACATTTTGAGAACTTCAAAATTTAATGCAATGTGCAACGATAGGGTAATTTTCGACTGATTGGATTGCTTTTTTGGATATAAATCTTATCGAATCCCAAAATTCAATTTAGACATGGATAACAGTTTGAACGGCTGTCCATCAGATGACCGGAGATCATTGCATTTACTCTGTCATAGCAAAAGTCGTTCGTTTGAGTCACAAGTGGCTTCTCCACCCCATTTAAATCAGTCCAAACACCTTCAAAATTTAATGCAATTCCCATGTAAGGTAAAAACCCCTGATGCCACCAAAAAGTATTAGAGTTCACTCATTGGAGCACTGGTTGTTTAGTGGATTTATTTAAAAGAATGCAAAATATTATGAAAAGAATGAGAAATACTAAAGCGCTTGTAACATTTTCTTGCAGAAGCCAACGGTTCAATATATCGATTGATGGCGGAGCTGCAGGCTACTTTATATTACCATAAAATAAAGGTCAAGATGAACGCGCATTAAAGGAAGCTACTAACTTATTCCGCAGTCATGACAATCGATATATCGATCAGTAACTGTAACACTGAAGTCGGCGTCATCCCGGAATAGAGGAACATTCTACGTGGAGGTCCGCACCGCTGGGAGGCTGCGAGCTCACAGTGTTGGCATTTCGCCAGGCTATGATTAAGGAGAATGAAGAGACAAAGACTCGGATTCTCAGCACGATATGTTGTACTGTAGCTGCAAAACGACGCCCGCAAATCCAATTTCCGCCTAAAGCGCGTCGAAACTTACTGGAGCCCTTGTGACTGTATGCTACGTAGTTTGAATAACATAACAGAAGTGAAAATGCCGGCTTTCCGAAATCCGGATAGAGATCAGTGGATAAGTGTGACTTACAACCACCGTATTTTGCTCATTATCTAAAACGGAAGTGTGTATATAGGTGTAAGGAGGAAACGGTAAGTCTCCAGTAAGCCTAAAAGATCAATATATCGGTTAGGGATTGCATCTTAGAGTACGGTAAATACAAATACTAAGGTAAGAAGGGTGACTATGTCTGCAGCTTTTCTTGGGTTGATCAGCCAAATGAGGAGGAGAGAGGAGTCTGCAGGTTTTATATATGTTCTAAGGATAAAGGTGGGGGGGGGGGGTATCAGGGCTCGACACGGCTGACACTGGGTCAAGCTGGATATCGTTTTTGGGACAAAAGCAAAGGGATATCTTTTTGCGGCCGAAAAGACACAAGAATTGCGACGTTTCCTTAGTCAACACTTCGTTTTTCTAAGGTTTTTTACGTTTAGGGTATGGAATCAAAGAGGACTTCGTCCAAAACCTTCAAGAACAAAGGAGACTTTTTTGGAATTTTTCTGTTGCCAGCTCGTGCCGAGCCCTGGGGGAGATGTATGGACCAGTAAGGCTGCAGTCAACCCCAGTTCCTAGGTTTCGATAGCATATTTTGGGTATCACAAAATATCACAAGAGGTCGTTCCTTCAGTGGAATCTTCATTTACCAAAGGATGGCACTGCTTTAATTATCCTTAACAAAAACACTAACGGAGAAACTCAAAAGATAAAATAAAAACACTCCTATTTTCCGGGTCATGGTAAATCTACAAACATCGTTTCTTTTTGAATCACCGATGCTTTTCAAAAAGATATCAATCATTGCTCGAAAACGCCCTCCTCCTTGCATGCATTTCAAATAAGAATTTACATCAAGCAACCCATTTCTGATGAAGAGATTTGATTTTTGCAATAAGTTAAGGAAGAAAAGCAGGGATAAGAGTGCACCTCGCGTGACATAATGACAAATCCTCAAAGGCATACTCTAGAAGGTTATGCCCCGAGGGGGTGCTTGCAAGAGGGCAGCAGTGAACATATCCGCATAAAAAGAAAGAAGCAATGAGCTAGGGGCGGGTTCTTGCTGAGGGGAGCAGGTCATAAGACAGCAGAAAAATTACCTACTTTAGGCTCTTAGGTAAGTTTTACATAGGAATGCAAAAAATAATGGGGTTTATAGAACCCTCGAGAAAAATTAGTCGAACAAGTGTTTCGTTAATTTGTTTTACGACAATAATTATAAAAAATAGCAGTACTTTGACCTAGCGATGACAAATTGTTGAGGTTTTAGTAATAACTATAATCAGGAACACTTCGTATTAGATAATTCTCAATTCAAAAATACTTATTTTAGCCTTCTCATGTGAGCTTTGTTTACGTTCTTCCTGATTAAGCAGGCCCAATTTACGCAAAAGTTCAGAAAAAATCCCCACCATGACATTTTTGAATACGTGTTTACACAACATAAAGAATGTCCCATGAAGTGTCAAAAGCACACTTCACACAAGACGACCACAAATCACTATGTACTCTATATAAGCCCTATGGCTGGCACATTGCCAAAATCCGGCATTCTAATTATTCACATTGTTCTTTATCGCACATAAAGGTTGTTTATTACAGCGGAGAAGGCGTGAGGGCTAAACAATCTCTCATAAGATTAAATTTGATGCACGTAAGCCAGAAAGCTGAAAATATCACAAAGGAATCCACATCTTGGCAGAGGCTGTTTTTCAGAGTAAGAAAGAATGCCACAAATTTAAAATAAAAATGAGTTTAGAAGTTACAATTTCGAATTATTTAAAATTCACATCATAACATGAACAACGATTTTCAAGATAAAAATGTAATTTTCGTACTTTATCTGTTTTATTATTTTTAACGGGTAGTCCTACAAAATGGTTCATATTTTGAATTCCTCCAGATCGATTTGGCAGAAATTTACTTGGATGTTTGATTATATTATACTATCTTTTTCCAAGTATTTCAATATCTCTCAAAAACGGGGTTCAAACCGTTGGCAGCTTCTGCATTTATACCAAGTACGCTTAGGCCAAATTTCAATAAAGTAGAAAAAAGTAGAGAAATTCTGCCCAATAAAATGTCTCTTGTCATTTATAACAAAGTCTCAAAAGATGTTCCTCATTTTTTGATTCGGGTTACGATAGCAGAAAGCCTATCAAACTGAGTCATATTTTTTGCTTAGAAAGATTCTTATTCATTAATTGCGTAAGTTTTAAAAAATTCCCAAATTTTTATTGTGCGATTACGGTAGCAGTATTCGATTTCTTCCTATTATTAGTTGAACATGCTGCATTCTTTGGAAAATCTCCAAATTTTTCATATCCGGATTACGGTGATAGAGCTATCAGTCTGAATCACAGCAATTCAAGAAAAAGGGTCGTTACAGCAAAAAAACCGACCGTTAATTTTATAGTCAGCAATCAAGTTCCTCATTGTTATTTCTTTGATATTCTGCAGGAAATTTTCCGCTTATACAAATAGAAGATAACGACGAAGACGTCAAAAGATGGAGAAGTCGGTGCGATGATGTTCGGATAGCTCTTCCAGTCATTAGTCAGTTGTTCTCGTCGAATATTCTAGTATTTTCTTACGCGGAGTAGGAGAAAAGCCGTGCGTGGGTTTAGTCAAGAATGGATGTGAAGGGTGCTAAGGTCTTGCAGCGAAAACGAAAGAGCTGATGGACCAATGGCCCCTTTTGCACTGCTAAAATGCCAGTTATGCAAAAAAGCAGGAAAGTCTGTAGAAGCAGTGCAAGCAGTGCAAAATGCAGTAGCAAATTTGTTTCGGACGAGTTCTTGGACCCGCTACGCGTAATTGTGACGAGTTTCTACGTAGTTGTCGGCGCAGAAGCGGCGCATAGCAATGACCAAAAACGAATTGCTAGCGATTCGCGTGTGCATAAAATCCAATCCGAAAAGCTCGACCCCATCAGCAGTAAAATACATACGAGCTGAGGATTCTCGATTTTGGCACCTTTTTGGGATGGGGGGGAGCAGAAGCGGGTGAGCGGGGTGCTGGAAAGGAAGACAGGAAGAGAGAAACACCTGTCAGAATGAGGATATATACTCTTATTTTTTCGTTTTTCTTGAGGGGGGGGGGGGGTGGCTGTAGGGAAAGGGAGGAGAGCATTGAAAAGGTCAGACAGAAAAGGAGCATTATTTGAAAAATAAAAGAGAATTTTTTAATTTTGGCACCTCTTTGGCCGGGGGAGGATGAAAGGTGCGGAAATGGAAGACGTGAAAGCAACTTTGGCTCAATTAAATAAAGAACTGCAGAGATATGATCCTTAAAAGAAACTGCAACAGCTCTAGACGCCAAAATAGACGTCCCGTTCTTTCACCCCCCCCCCCCCTCCGCCCTCTCACCCCGCCTTAATTGAGCATATGATTGAGGACATCCTTTCAAAGGATCTTTTGCAAGCACTTTTTGAATAGCGCGCATTCTTGAGTACCTTAAATTCTC